ATTTTACCAGGGAATTCACAGAAGCCCTGAAACCTACCAGTGGCCCCGTTCCCCAGTGTGTCTGGACCCCTTCTTTAATAACCTTCTCTTTGACACGAGGGAAATCAGTGTGGAGAAAACTGAGCACCAGCTGTGCTCTGTTCTGTTCTGCTGAGGAGAGCCACTGACAATTTCCTTCCTTTATCTCAACGGCAAAATTAAGTGTGTTTCTTCTTATCCAATCCACGCAAGTATTGTGAAGCTGAAATTGCTTTAAGAGCTTTAGAAGAAAGGTACCATATAAATGCAAATAGCAGGAGATTTGATAAAAAGAATAGTCATATCCAAGTGCACAACGGCCGCCCTATCCAAATGAAGTTTGTGGTTTCACTGCTATTGTCATTCAATATACATCAGTAAGTAAAGACTATGAAGTCAGTCTTCTAGAATTCTTTCTACTTGAATTGCAGGCATGCTTTTCTCACAGAATCATGTAATATGCCACCTAGAGAATTGAAGATGGGAGAAGACACCATGGACCGTAAGCCCTATGGGTATGGGCTTGCTACTACCACCCCGAGAGGGTAAAAGGATACAGGGCCCCTATCGCTGATGGGGAAATGCTCTGCAACTTCCCATTCAAGGAAACGCAGGGAGCTCTGAAGAGAATGCTCAGATCACCACCATTCCCCTGTGGCAACACATATTTTTAACATTTAGCACAAACACCTATTCACACATTATAGAGTCTGGCATTTACCACTTTAATTGCTCAGGTTGGCGTGTCTGCCATGCCTCCTGATCCACCAAGTTGGTTTCTGTAACCAGGGCAACAGTGCTGGTGCTCAGCCTAAGAGGATACTGGGGAACCAATTCAATATAAAATAATAAATAAATAGCGGGATATATTTTTTTAGACAATACTGCTCTTTGGATGATATATCAGCCACTATTCCCAGACTTCCTCTGAAACTTTCTCTGAAACTGCTTACAATTTAGCCAATAGCTGACCACAGCACTCCATCCTTGGTTGCTACAAACTGGATGAGCAGTTAGATAAAATGCTTACATTAGCCAGTGAGTGAGTGACCAAGGACATTTAGTGTGATATCTTTCAAATTCTATAGAAGATGTTTTAAATAAAACCTAGGGAGAATAATAAAAGACAGGAAAGTAACCTCACCTTCAGAATAACAACTTCTGCATCGAGTTTTTGCCTGAGCTCCAGAGTTCACATGTTAGGCCCTCAACGACTGCACGTGGCAGAAAAGAAGAAACTGATACTCTGCCATGCCTGAGGCAACTGGGACCTTATCTTTGCTTGATAGTATTCTTTTTGTAATTAGAGGCATACCTCGTTTTATTGCACTTCACTTTATTGGGCTTAGCAGACATTTCGTTTTTTAGAGGTTGAAGGTTTGTGATAACCCTGCATCGAGCAAGTCTATCAATGCCTTTTTTCCAACAGTATTTGTTCACTTCATGTCTCTGTGTCACATTTTGGTAATTCTCACAAAATTTCAAACATTTTCATTAGTGTTATATTTGTTATGGTGATCTGTGGTCAGCGATCTTTGATGTCGCCACTGCAGTTGTTTTAAGGTACCATGAACCATGCCCATATAAGACGGTGAACTTAATTGATAAATGTGTGTTCCAACTGATTCACTGACCAGCCATTACCCATCTCTCTCCCTCAGCTTGGGCCTCCCCATTCCTTGAGACACAACAATACTGAAAATTAGGCCAATAAATAACCATACAATAGCCTCTAAGTGTTCAAGTGAAAGGAAGAGTCAATCAATGTCACAAACTTCATTGTTTTAAGAAATCGCCAAAGCCACCCCAATGTTCAGCAGCCACCACCCTGATCAGTCAGCAGCCATCAACACTGAGACGAAGCCCTCCATCAGCAAAGAGATTATAGCCTCCTGAAAGCTCAAATGATGGTTAGCAATCTTTAACAGTGTTTTTTAATTAAGGTATGCATAGTTTTTAGACAATGCTATCTCACACTTAATAGTATAAACATAACTTTTAGGCACTGGGAAACCAGAAACTTCCTGTGACTTGCTTTATTGCGATATTCACTTTAGTGCAGTGGTCTGGAACTGAACCTAACAATATCCCTGAGGTATGCCTGCGGTGTCCTTTTAGATCAAAGTATTAATCTTCCTCTTGTTTGAAGAGACAGGCAGCTGGGATTGCTTATTTTACTTTTCGGCAAAGCCAGAAAGAGAAACAATCCATTCTCATGGACTTAAGTAGAGGAATTTGATCAAATACAAAAGTCAAGACCTAATCCAGGAAACACCAGATGGGAGCTGGGAGATAGGAGAGAAATCTGCTTTTGAATAGTGACTTTGGATGCAATAAACCCAAACCCATATATCATCTTGCTTTTTTCTCACAGCTCCCCTGCAGGAAGCAGCACAGAACTAAGCAGAACAGCCTAAACGCCCCAAGATCAAATCCCAGTCCTAAACGCTGCCTTGCATAGTTAGTAGGCCTTAAGGAAAGAGCAACTCAGTGCTTAAAAACAAAGATCATTTTGTATCTGGCACTACTCTTTCTGCCACTTTAGGAAAAACGTCCAAGCATTCTAACACATATCAAAACCAAAAATCTCATAACCACAGCAGGAGATGCCATCTAAAGAAGAAAGCTGAAGATTCCTACGTGAATGACTTTTCTTTCGCTTCAGATCACCAACTTCGAACCTACAGAGCGTTCATGATATATTATTCAGTGGAAGGATTCACAGAGCTAAATAATTCTAATTTTTCAGTGAGATCAAATAAAGCTGCTATAGATAATACTGGAAATCTTATCAAAAATCTCCATCCTATTGGTTACATCAAAAGAATTCTTCCATCATAATTTCGGTGAAAATAATACATCTGCGTAAGACGTTTGGAGTGAATGTTAGATCTTTCTTTGAAATTGCTTACTATCTTGCCTTTTAAACACACAATACATTCCTGTCACAGACTGGGTATACTGTGTTGTGACAGGTCAGAAAAGTCCCACTCATGACAGAACTGTTGTTTCCCTCTCTTTCGTGTTCAGACTGTTTCCAGTGTAGTTGTCCATGCATGCAAATGGGGTTAAAAAAACAGAGAGCAGCGGTTTCTTCTCCACTTGATCCATGTAAAATCCATTTTTCATCAGCAGCTCTCAGGAGAACCTGCCACTGATTGCAGCTCTGCTTTCCTCATCACAGTCTGATGGATGTTTTTGCTCAAAATAAGCCACCTTTTACTGATTGCTGCAGGCTGCTTGGTCTGTCAGTTGTGAAAATACAGCATTCGACAGCTAGGCCACATCGCTTATTGTAATCAGAGTCAGATGCAAACATTCACTCCAGCGATTCCTTGGCTCTAATCTCTATTTGCTCTATTGCAGTGTTCACTTTGGTTGTGAGGTACCCTCAGAACAAAAATGCCACAGGTTAGAGATCAAGTCACTCACCCCGGCTGAGTTAAAAGTCTTTCTCTGTCAGAGAATAAGCCTCTTATTTTTCCTAAAAAAATGTGCAAAAGAAGGGTAAATGTTTTTTAAAATACAACTGAGTGGAAGCTGCCATGTTTTTATGAGGATACAGGAAACTAGAGGATGTAGAAACAGAGACTAAAGATTTGCATCCCTGACAGCAACTCTGCATGTTATGAATTTAATTCCAGTCAATGAAAAGAACGTCTGTTAAATGTACATTTGTGTGTGTCACACAACAACATTGGAAATGAAGTGGTTAAACAAAAAGGCCCTGAGCTACTTCCTAAGTACTGCTGCTAGAAGGGAGATCTGGAGTTTAATGGTGTTATTTTAAAAATAACTACATTGTATTCATATTTATGTACAACAAAACATCCATTTTAAACTCCTATTCCAAGTCGGAAATGACTTTCCTGCCAAAAGGGGTTAGCATTCATATCAGTTAGGACTAGGTTCAGCTATGTATAGCAGAAAAAATCCACAAGAAAATAGCTTAAAGTCTTAGAAGAGAGAGAGAATTTATGTCTCTTACACATAAGAAATCTGGGGTTAACAATCTAGGGCTGGGGTGATGGGCACAGCATCATCTCTTACTTGAGCTCTCCTCTTTCTTCTCTCATCCTGCTGCATGGTTTTCATTGTCAAAATCTTCTTATGGTCTATGAGACTGCATGAGCTCCAGCCATCATATCATATTCCATACAACAGGATGGAAGAAACAAAGGGAAAAAAAACCTTATCACCTCTTTTTCAGAGACTTCTAGGCAGTCCCCCACAACACTTCTACTCATATCTCATTGGCGAGAACTTGGTCATATGGCTATACCTAGTTGCACTGGAAACAGATCATTATATTTCAGGTCATAACAAACTTGGCTAAAACTTAGGGTTCTCTTATTAAAGGAGGGAGAATGGCTATTTAATAGAAAACTGGTGACACCTGCTACAGCACTCACTCTTCACCACCATCTCTGCCATCACATGACCTTGGACAAGTCAGTTAAATTTTTCTGTACTTCAATTTCCTCAGCTCTAAAATATCTACCTTGTACATTTGTTTGAAAATAAAATGGGACAACGTGGAAAGAGCCTAGGGCGTTTAGAACTTTCGTAAACATCCGTCTCCTTCCATAAATCAATAGGAACCAAATTAAACCCCATCCTGCAAAGTCCTCAGAGCCTGTCACTGGGTGAGTTCTCCCGTCACGGGGCCCAGTGCTGGCTTCCTCTTCTTTCCTGTATTCCACCCCTCTCCCAGCTTGTGCCACAGAAGCCTAAGCAGGCCTATAACTGGAGCCACAGAGGCTAAGGCAACAGAAAGACTCATTGTCCAGGAAAAACTGAAGAAATGAAAAAGAGGAGCCCTCAGGGGGAAAAAATGGAAGGAATACATTTCCCACTAAGACTTCATATGCCAGGAAGACTCTAAATAAACTTTAAAAAATTTTTGGCAAAGACTGCAAACGATTCAGATTTCTAGCAGTTTCTACAGACTGCTCAGAAGAAAGTGCTTCTAGATTACCCACCTTTGAATTTTATCCCTCAAGGCATTCCTCTCTGAGGACCCATTGAGAGACTGTGAATGACTGGGATAACGTAGCCCCACTGGGAACCACACGGCACAAAGTACAAATCCTCCTGATAGGTCCATCCCTTTTAAGGGGAAGCCAGGGGACTGCTGTTCAGTTATCTGCTACCACAGGCCAGGCTCTCTGGAAGCAGGTGCTGAGATGGAGCTTTCCACGTAAGATGTTTGTGAGAGATAAACCCTGGGAACAGAAGGAAAGAAGCAAGATTGGGCAGGAGAAACTAAATTGCTCTGCAAAAAAAAAACTCTGGAGCAAGTATTGTCCCACATCAGGCTGCAATGGTCTGATCTCTGTTACCACCACCACCACCCCATCTCACAACCATCCGTGACGAGCTGTTCTCGAAGGGCATGACCTCAGTTGAGGCCAACCCTAAAGAAGCTGACAGCTTCAGGCTGTCTGCTGACTTCATTCCCCACAGCCTGGCAGCAAGACCTTCTTGAAAGGGGGGATGGAGCGGCACAAGTTAACCCAGCCACAGAAAGTCATAGCCACCACATTCAACATTTTCCTGGCTCTGCTGTTCATGTATTGATTTCTTATCACAAATGGAGTTGACACCAAAAATCACTGTATTTCACTCCTCAACTCACATGTCACAGAGTGTATGTTTAATTGATAGGAGGCTTGAAGTGCTCTATAAACAACTCAATTACGATCAGGAAGATTGAAGAGTCAGGCTCACTCTATCAGCCTCCTTGGTGTAAAGATCAATGTATATAAATAAGGATTTTTCAATTTAAAAATAGATTTGAATGTACTTCGTAATCAAAGCAAGAGCCCTAAAGATGAGGACTGGGAAGGAAAATAATGCTTTAGCGGATTTCCAGTATCTTCTAAACCCTTGCTTTACCAGGAAGTAAACTGTTTTAGTACTTATTTTCCAATTTTCAGTTCTACTGAGATGCAATGAATTCTTTCATTTTCTACTTAAAATATTCAGTGATGAACTGAATTTCCCCAATCCTCAGGGTAATCTTGCAATCGCTCTGTGTGTTCTTCCATGGGGATTCCATCTAAGAAAATGCTAGGGACCCTTCTTTCTTTTGTGAAATTACCAAACTCCCAAAGAAGCAAAACACACCAAACAGGATTTTGCTGCACTGGAAGCAAAATCATCCTTGCTTCACAAATAAAACCTAGTTTGTCATATTATTAAGTATAACTCCACTTGTCTGACATACAAATCAAGCTTGCTTTGTAATAAAACATTTTGAATTTTGGGGGCAGGGTGGGTAGGAAGCATTTTAGAAACTAAAGTTGTAACAGCACAGATTATCAAAACACTGAATTTCACATTGACATATTTTGGTTAACTACCAGCCTCCCATCTTAGCCTTCCTATGGAGCTGCTATTTCAATAACTATTAAAAATCTTTCTTGCCAGAGAATTTTACTAGGGAGTGTATCAGAGAATATACCAGAAGGAGGAGAATAAAAAAGGAATAAGGAAGGTGTACAAGAGCATTCAACTGTGTGGAGCCAAGTGTCTAATGAAGAAAGGACCAGAGCTGAGAGTTTTTGAGAGAACACCAAACCAAGAGGGGTGACTCTAGATCAAGGGTCAATCAACCACAGCCCATGAGTCAAATCCAACTCATCTTTTGTTTTTGTAAATAAAGCTTTACAGGAACACAGCAGCATCCATTTGTTTACACGTTGTCTATGGCTACTTTTGTGCTACAACAGATGGCACAATTGAGTAGTTACAAAGGAGATTTCATGGTCTACAAAGGAAAAATATCTACTATCTGCCCCTTTATAGAAAAAGTTTGCTGACCCCGGCTCTAGATCAATATAAAAGCTGAGTCACAGAGGGCACTGTTAACCAGGTTGACTGAAATGGAGAAGTAAGCGTCCATGGGCCCAGAGAGAGTTAAAGCAGAGTCTTCGTAACAATCAATGATCTCCTTTAACTCCTATGTGCCAAACCAGCCAAGATAGATCTACCTTCAAATGATGATCCTGTCTGGTGCTCCCCTGACATATTTTTAGTGATTCTTCCACGTCTCCTTTCCCTTTACATGTTGGTAGCCTCCAAGATTCTCTCCGTGGACCTCCTCTTTTCTAACTCACGCTCTCCTGGGGCACTTTCATGAATATTCTTGGCTTCAGCTAACTTGTACAGGCTGGTGACTCCCAATTCTGCATCTCCTAAACCGGAGATCTGCATACTCACTGCCTTTGGAACACCTCTACTCCTCAAATGCAATATATGTATGCAAACTCAAACCCTCTTTCCCTGTAAATGAAATTAGTGATTAATTCAGATTGCCTTAGTTAGATTCCTAGCCCTACCCTTATTAGCTACTAGTAACCCTTGGGCAGGTTATTTAAACTCTCTAATACTTGGTTTTCTTGTGTGTAAAGTGGAGGTAGTAATAGTGCCTACTACAGACTGTGGTCCTGAGGATTAAATGAGATGCTATATGTAAAAGACTTAACACAGTACCTAACACAAAGGAACAGCTCAATAACCATCAGGAGTAATGAAAGTATAAATATAATATTTTATGTTTATTTCCAATATTAGTAAGTAGCACTGCCATTAAATGTCACTGTTTACCTTAGTTCTCTCCCTGAAATTCTGGCCTCCCTGTGCTCCCACAGAACCTAATAGATCGAGGATTTGCATATTGTTTTGTATTTGCTTATTTATATACTGTCTTTCACACAAGTCCGTAAGCTCTTTGGGGATGAGCTGTGTATAATTTAACTCTTAATACTGAAGGAATATTGTAGAATGGATAGGAGGACTGGGCTGGCAGGGAGAGTAGTAGACTGGTAAGAAGATACTAGATGAGACCTAAAGAGGGACTTTAAAAACCACGTCAGTAGGAATGAGGGTGAAACAAAAAGAATTTCAGAGAAGTTTAGAAGAAAGAATCAATAAAATTTGTCAATGATTGGATGTCAGTGGTGAGAGAAAATTATCCATTTTACTTCCCACCAGTTACAAGTTTATCCCCTCTTCATCAAGTAGAGCAAAGAGTGCTGTTTTGAGCCAGGACTGGTAATAAGAGTGAGAATTAGATGCTACTTCAGATTTCCTCTCTGTCCAGATTTCATGTATTAGTCCTCACCCGGTTTCTTCATTTTTCTTATTCATCAACTAGGGTAGCAAAACAGATGAGAGCACAGGCTTTGCAGTCAGGCAAATTTGTGTTTTTAGCTCCTGCTTGATAACTATGTGCCACAGTTACCTAAACTCTCCAAATTTCAGCTTCCTTGTCTTTAAAATAGGAGCGATGATTGTATATACCTTGTTGGTTAATGTGAAAATTAAATAGACAATGCATGTACGGCTTTGGGCACAGCACCTAAAAAACAGTGTTTCACATGTGCTATTTATATCTTATAAAACTAAACATAATAAAATAGTAAATCTTTAACTTTAAGACCCCCAAATTTAGGAAATTCATATCAAAGAGCTACAACTTTTGTAACATACATCATAAGCTACAACTTTTGTAACATACATCATAAAATATAATCATATCTCTGGAATTTTGTAGGAAAGTAGGCATCAAACACCACATTAGGCCAAAAGAGAAAATCTCATCCTATAGCAAGTGGTGAAAGATAGGATTAGGGACTGGATTAGAAGAAAAGGAAGTTAATCGATTGAAATCATTTGACCTCACAAATTTGCTTTCATAATAATAAGAATTTTTACTTTTGTGTAAAAACAGATGGTGAATTCGCAATCTAAACTTTTTCATATCACCACTCAGACAAATTCCTTTACCTGTCTGTTATGAATTAATTGATCACCAAGGCTTTTAGAGCTCGACAGTCTTATTCAGTATAGCAAAAGCAGACAGCAAATACAGTTAATAATCTCATCCTGTTAGCAGATGGGAAGTAAACATGCTGAGTAGCGTATTTTAGTACTGTAGCCAATTTAGAAATGATTGGTTTACAGTATTTAGTATTTATTTTTGCTAGAGAAAACTATCAAATCCAGATGGCCTATCAAGCTCCTGACTGGAAAGTTGTTTATTTACGAAAGTGACTAATGTGACACTGACAGTGGTTGGCCCTTAATTTTCTTGTCAAATTAGTCAAGTCACATTATTCCTAGTATATTGCTTTAAAAAGAGAAGAGTGACTTCTAAAATAAGAGCAACAAAAACCTAAGGGTGAGTTCTCCCTAACTTGACTAACCCTTCAACCCAGTCACTGCTACTTCCAGGGTTCAGACCTCCACGAAATTTCAGTTTAACAGCCTGAAAAGACAGAGGCAAGTTTTATAAGCAAAATTAAGAAAATCTGCATCTGAAAGCTTATCATCTTCATGTAAAAGGATCATGTGGATATCACAAACACTACTTACAAAGCCAGACTGAAAGTAGATGAAAGGAAACCCACTGCAGAAGAGCTTCTGATCGGCATAGCTTCAACCAGACCATTTCTTTCTGTCCCTCTTTTTCTCTGTTTCTGAAGCAATAATTTCCATCTCACTATCTTGAAAGTGTGATTTAAGAACTAAATTCTACAGGCAGCGTTTGACAGCGTGATGTCTCACAGGAAGTTCTCCGCTCCCAGGCTTGGGCCCCTGGGCTTCCTGCCTTGGAAGCATAGCAGTTGGCACCATGGGAAGGTGAAGAGCTTCCCTAAGGATGACTCCTCCAAGCCCGTGCAACTCCCAGCCTTCCTTGGCTACAAGGCTGGCATGACCCACATTGTGAGGGATGTGGATAGGCCAGGGTCCAAGGTGAACAAGAAGGAAGTTGTGAGGGCTGTGACCATCGTGGAGACTCCGCCCATGGTGATTGTGGGCATTGTGGGCTATGTGGAAACTCCTCGAGGCCTCTGTACCTTCAAGACTATCTTTGCTGAGCATATCAGTGATGAGTGCAAAAGGCGCTTCTATAAGAACTGGCATAAATCTAAGAAGGCCTTCACCAAATACTGCAAGAAGTGGCAAGATGAAGACGGCAAGAAGCAGCTGGAGAGGGACTTCAGCAGCATGAAGAAGCACTGCCGGGTCATCCGTGTCATTGCCCACACCCAGATGTGCCTGCGTCCTCTACGCCAGAAGGCCCACCTCATGGAGATCCAGGTGAACGGAGGCACTGTGGTGGAGAAACTGGACTGGGCCTATGAGAGGCTAGAGCATCAGGCCCCTGGGAACCAAGTGTTTGGGCAGGATGAGATGATCGATGTCACTGGGGTGACCAAGGCAAAGGCTACAAAGGGGTCACCAGCCACTGGCACACCAAGAAGCTGCCCCAGAAGACCCACCAAGGACTGCACAAGGTTGCCTATATTAGAGCATGGCATCCCACCCGGGTGGCCTTCTCTGTGGCTCGGGCTGAGCAGAAGGGTTACCATCACTGCACTGAGATCAACAAGAAGATTTGTAAGATTGGCCAGGGCTACCTCATCAAGGATGGCAAACTGATCAAGAACAATGCCTCTAATGATTACGATCTGTCTGACAAGAGTATCAGCCCTCTGGGTGGCTTTGTCCACTATGGTGAAGTGACCAATGACTTTGCCATGCTCAAAGGCTGCGTTGTGGGAACCAAGAAGCGAGTGCTCACCCTGCGCAAGTCCTTGCTGGTGCAGACCAAACAGCGGGCCTTGGAGAAGATTGATGTCAAGTTTATTGACACTACCTCCAAATTTGGCCATGGCTGCTTCCAGATAATGGAGGAGAAGAAAGCATTCACGGGACCACTTAAGAAAGACCAAATTGCTAAGGAAGAAGGAGCCTAATGTCATAACAGATTGTACAGCTGGTGGAATCTCAATAAAGTTATCTTTCAGTGGAAAAAAAAAAAGAACTAAATTCTAGGAATTTCTCCTGGCCTCATTTTGCTGTTTGAAAAATGATGGAATTTTATCAGATACTTTTTTTCCTTTTTTTTTTTTTGTCAGTTTACAGTGTGTCCATTTCTGGTGTACAGCATGATGTTTCAATCCTATATATACATACATATATTTGTTTTCATATTATTTTTCATTATAGGTTACTACAAAATATTGATTATAGTTCCCTGTGCTACACAGAAGAAATAGAATCTCTAGTGGAGTGGTAGGTAAACAGAAAAGTTGAATCGTTAGGTGTCCTATTGTACAGGTAAATATTTTCTAGAAAATTTTGCATAGTGACTTTTTTGCTAGTGCTTAAATAAACCAAGGTTGCAGTGTCCATGAGAAACTTAAGCAGAAAAGTTTTCAGCTAAGAAATAAAAGTTTCTAATCTGGCAGGACAAAAAGTAAGGAAAGTCAAAGAAACTTGTTTCAGAGGCAATTCTAAGGCACCAAGGTTTCCTTTATAACTTGAAGAGGTCTTTCTACTCATATGCAGAAGAGAGATATTATATGAGAAAACCTATTACTTGTCTTTGTGGGAAATGATAAGTGAAACTGAGGTCCACAAAGTAGCCTGATTGTAGAGTACCAAGAATAAGACTTGATGGCACTGGCGATTTTGTAATACCTTCCTTGCTGTGAGGGTATGATGACTCATTTGAAAAAAAATGATACTTTTGGAAAGGGGAAAATAAAAAAGGTGAATCACGACAAAATGGCAATTCCATGTATACCATATAGTACTCATTTATATGGATGGAATCATTCTTCTCAAAGTTTAAGTTAGTCATAATCTATGACTATCGGGTAATTCTGTAAGTCTCCAGTGAAATGGGAGTTGATGTAATTATCCATGAAATTCAGGGATATTTTTAGAAACTACGATTTTGGCCTAAATTACTCAGATAAAACACTGACTGCTCAGCTTGTTCTGGGGGGATGTGCAGTAATTGCCACCATATAGAAACTGGCATTATCCCTGGAGCTTCTTTAAGTGTTTCTGAACATCTGATTACTTGTAGACTGTGACTCACAAATTATATAAATCTTTTGAGAATTGAGAGTCAATACTTTCTTTTCCTTCCCATTACATTGGAAAGTAATAACATTACCTCTGAAAGAAATGAGAGGCCCACAGCTAATATTTACTGTGGACGATCTTACTCAGAGTCATCCTCCGTCAATGTCAGTGGTCTGCATGGTCTACTAATCAGAGACACCACCGGCCCCGGAAGGGAATCATGACCCAACAGGGACCTCAGTCTACATGTCCGTCCTAGAGTAAGACACTCAGTGACTTCCCTGAGACTAGAACCTGACTTCAGGTGGGGCTCTTGCCCTTGTTCCATACTTCTACCCAAGGAGGCACAGTGCAGTCTAAATACACTGACCTTCGGGTTAGATCTGCCATTTCCCAGCAATGTGACCGTGGAAAAAAGACTGAACCTCTCTGACATCCTGATTTCCTCCTCTGTGAAATGAAAACATTGTATCTACCTCATATGATGCCTATGAGTCTCAAGTATATAGATATAAAGCTTTTCAAAGTTATATCATATCAGACTGCCTCAACATCTCAACGGCATCCAACAACAAATGTTTATTTCTGCTTTCCTCACTCAGCTCTGGAACCCTGGGTTCCAGAATGATAGTTCAGGGATGAAAGTAAGAGGATGACTGTATATCTGCAAAATCTCTTAAAATCTCAGCTCACTAAATGCTCTCATTTCTGCCCATATTCCAGTCATCAAAGTAAGCCATGTAGCCAAGCCCAAAGTCAGCAGGGAAGAATATGCCACCTTCAGGAAGAAGCTAATAACTGGGAATGGTACACCAGTCACCACAGCACATAAAACATGAAATAGAATCAGTGCTTCCTAAATGCTGATTCTACCCGGTACCACCTCTCCAAGCCTGATGTCCCAAGTTCACAGGTTGCAGGCATTCACTAATGAACAGCTGATTCATAAAATGGTTGACCAGTTATTATCATTATACAAGTGGTGGAAACACTAACATAGGTTTTAGTCTGCAAATATAAGCAACTTTCTTTTGGACACTTGAGTCACACATTTTAATCATGTGGAGTTTAAACTGTATTTTTTTTAGTTTCATGTTAAGTGTTTTCTGAGGCTTTAGTACTGTATGCTGTCCAATGCACATTCTCAATATACAAGTATTAGTACAAGGTCAAAATTACTAACATCTCCAGCAATGGCTTCTTCATTAAGATGTAGTTTAATAACAAGTCAACGACTTTAAAATAATAATTGTTGTAACTTGGATAAGTATAGTAAAATATTATAGTATTAACCTACCTTCATAGATAATACATATTGAAGTAATTTTAGAAGTAGTTTTGCAGGGGTCACAATGGTAAAAATCTCGGAAAAAACAATTGCAAAGGGAAAGGATGCCTCACAAGAATGTTTAGTATTGTACAATATTAATTTTTACCACCAGCATCTTGTGTCAGAACTCCTAGGACTATCAGAAAAAAATGAAGAAAAATTATGATTAAGAAATACACGTTCTAACTTTAATCCAAAATTGCCATTTGCATGAAGGTGACTTTGTATAAATTATATTCATCTTTGTTCAGAATCCTTGACTGTATATCACAATGAAATATTAAGTTGTGTACTCACAGAACGCCTAGTTAAGAAGGATATCTGTTAGATTGATTTCAGTGATGAATCTGGAGTACTGTCTCTCTCTCTGTGAGAGTCTATACTGTATAGGACAGCTTCATTTATAAAATGCCTCATTATGAAAGTGACCCTGAAACAATAAAAGATGGGCTTGGAGTACAGGAAAATGTCTGTTTGGAATGCATTTATTTCTGTGCCATTCATCAAAAGGGATTAGCTATTCTCCAGATTAGTGCTATGCCATCATTACTGCCCTATACGGATAAAACTTTCATAGTGATTTTCCATTTTCATTGATCTTTTGAATTAAATTGATTTTTAGTCTACAAGAGGAGAAAACAATTCCCAAAGGGAATCAGTTTCATTCTGAGACCTGTTCTTCAAAGCCACACCCTCAGATTCCAGGGCTTTATGCATTCACTTCCCTTTGATTATCAGGAAGCACACTGATTTAAAGTTTGAGAAATAGTGCATGGGAGATTCCTTAGGCAGGACGCATTACAGAATTTATTTAAGAGAACAGAATATTTAGGAGAATTTGCAAAAACAGGCTTAAATGCAAGAGAACAAGCAGCCAAAATATTTGCATGATTTTAGACAAACCAGTATAACTCTCTTGTGTCCAGCCCTCCAAAATCTCTCACCTAGTTGATGAAGCTTAAAATGACTTTCATGCAAGAGAACACCTTTAACCCATATTTAGCAATAAAACTTAAAGTGTGTATAAACTTGAGAATGATAGCACAATACATTCCCAACAAATATACAGGTAACTAACACTAAGTCTTTTCCTGAAAGCAGGTTTTAATTGAGGGAAACAGCAAGTTTGGGGCACATGAAGTGGAGAACAAGAAGGGAATCCATGCAATAGAAAAAGCAAGTTAGGGATGTCAAAGCAAGCTTCAGCTACTTCAGAATTTTCCCTAGAGTTGCCATGAGTGGTTGAGTTGAATTTCCTTTTCCAGTCTCTGAATTCTTCCCTCCTAGCCCTTCAACATGCTGTCCTGCAATGAAATTAATCTATTCCAGCTGGCCACATACATGATGGTGTCACCAGCTGCAATCCAAACCAAACTTAATACTATTTTGGTGGAAAGAGGATTTAAATTGTGAATATGAGATTTACTGGAGTCCAACACTAAGAAGAGAGCCTCCTCTTTGCATACAACAGTTCAAAATGGGTAAATTGAATAGTGAAGTGTCATGAAATGATATCACATGGAGAGCTGTTCTGAAAAAGAGAAGGTATAGGAAGGACATGACAAAACTTAATGCAAAAGGACCACACTAAGCCCACCAATGATAGTGAGGCATATTTGGTTTCAGGAAAAGAAAGAATTTCTTAGAAACTGGAGATGTCCAAATGAAGAGGACTGCCCTCCAAGATGACGAACTGTTCGATACTAAAATGTTAGTTAAGGGTATTGAAGAAAGAACGCCTGATTAGGAGATGTGGAAGGAATTTTTACCAACAACAAAAACTAAATTTAATGCTAAATACCTCTAATTTTTTGTAGACAATATATCTTCTGAGATCATAGAGAAAGAGTTTAGGAGACATTAATATAATAATGTCTACAATAGCCAAGTCTACAATAGCCAAGACATGAAATAACCTAAGTGTCCATCGATGGATGAATGATTATATATATAAAATGAAATACTTTTCATCCATAAAAAAGAAGGAAACTGCCATTTGTGACAATGTAGATGGACTTTGAGGCCATTCTACTAGGTTAAACAAGTCAGACAGAGAAAGACAAAAACTGTAAGATCTCACTTATTGTGGAATCTAAATAAACAAACAAATAAATAAGTAAATAACTGATAGATACAGAGAACAGACTTATGGTTGCCAGAGGCAAGAGTTAGGGGGTAGGTGAAATGGGTGAAGGGGAACAAAAGGTATAAACTTCTAGCTATAAAATAAGAAAGTCATAGGATGTAACATGCAGCACAGTGTCTATAGTTAATACCATATCATATATTTATAAGTTGCTAAGACAGTAAATCTTAAAAGTTCTCCTCACAAGGAAACAATGTAACTATGTATTTAAAGTTCTTATAAGAAAAAAATGTGTAACTATGTGTGGTAACCAATGTTAACTAGACTCATTGTGGTGATCATTTCACAATATATAAAATAGCAAATCATTATGTTGTACACCTGAAACTAATATAATGTTAATATGTTATATGTCAATTATATCTCAATTAAAAAGAAGTATAACAAAAATATATATAATAACCCAAAAATAAAGGGTTATTTAGAGACAGACTATAAACATTTTTTTAATTAAATGTTACCAATAAACCTGGAGGCCAGAAAGGACATGAACAAAGACAAGACAGGACTGGCAGTGAGTGATAAGGAAGCACAAGTAAGCAGAATGTGTGGGAATAAGATAATCAGGTAGAAAAGAAAAAGCTAGGATGGGGAAATTGACGTTACTTCACCAGAGCTGAGGGTACTTGGAATGGAGACGTAGGGGTATGCAAAGCAGGAGAATGAGAAATTAGCCTGACACGGAGTTTTCAAAAATGTTGGGGGGTGAGGGTGGGGAAGGAGTTTAATACGTATTTTGGGAAAGGGAGAATTTCTATGATCAAATATGTTTGAAAAGACTGAGTTAAAATAAACACCATTAGACAGATTCTCATAGAGCCTTGGCCATTCATCACAATTCTAAGTCTCCAAGAGAAGGGACAACATTCAGTGTCCCCATTAAATCAGCTTTTTTGTTTTTTGTTTTTTGGGTTTTTTTACAAAAATCTTTGGGAACTAGCATCCTGAAGAATATACAGCAGAAAAGAAATACTGGACTTAGGTGTCTGGACTTAGAACCTGCTGGTTAGGGGAAGTTTGGGCTTAGAACAAGGGCTTGTACTCAAAGCCTAGTCATAATGAACCTGGGTAGTTTAAAGACTAGAAACAAAAATCTTTAGTCTATTTGAGGAGAAAGGAGAGTAAAGCTAATCTCAAAAACTCTCCTCATGCTTTAAACACTGTTTTAGTGTGTGACTCAACCTGTAAATTATTTTGCCCAGAAGTGAGAGCCCTACACTGCACCAGATTCTGTATTCTAAAATACTGGCCATAGAAATAGGATTTGGACAATTCATCTAGAAGTAAGATAAGGAGCATGAGAGGGCCCAACATTAAAGAAAATGATCATCACAGTTACCATGTTTCAAATACAACCAGGTGTCAGACAATTTAATCCTCACCACAGTTCCCACTTCAAAGATGAGGACACAGGCAATCAAGGTAAATAACACTTCCAAGATCTCTTTGCTCAAGAGCTGCAGACCCAGGATTCAAACAAGCCTGACTAACTCCAAATCCTGCACTCTTAACTGCTGCTATTCCATGATGCGGGAAGCATCAGAGAACCACAGCTCGGAGAGGGAGATGAGACTAGTGAGATTACACATGGACATGTTACGTTGTATATACCATGCGACTGGACTCTGATTAAAGCCTCTTTCCAATGGTCTCAAACCCCATCACATGTATTTTAAGGCCCTAGGTTATAAGGACCATACCTCTTGCCATCCTCTCTCTCACTCACAGTGCTCCAACTACAAGAGTTCTGACATTTTCTAGATCATGCTTTGCTCTTCCTTGCCTTGGGCCTTTGCACGTGCTGTTCTCAGTGACTGAAGAATAGTTCCTTTCCTCATCTTTCACATTTTATGCCTCCGGTCTCAGCTTAAATGTCACTCCTTCAAAGAGTTCTTGTTTTCCACTGCATCTAAAGTAGCTAAACCTGCCCTCTACTCTCCTACCACACATCCCCATTATTATCTCAGCAGTATATTTGTTTGATTAAACTCACCACAAGCTGTACAAATTTTCTTTATTTGTGTATTTTCACTAAACTGAAGTTTAGTGAAACAGATGGCCTGTCTTGTTTACCCAGACTAGGTTACAGCCTGGTTCCTAATGGCTATTCAGTAAACATCAGTAGGATAAAATGAATTTCCATTTCATTGCATTTGCATTGAGGTGTGAAGAACAGAAGAGAAATCTAGGCTTCTTTATATATTTGAGAGTAATGGGCTAAAGGCGGTATGTGAAGGTATGGATATGGTTGGGTTTGTCCGTGGAGAACATGCAGAAAAGAGAAAAGAGCCTAAGTATGACATAGCAACTATCACCCAAGATGGTCCACAAAGATTCTGACTTCCTAGTACTGTAGCATTTTGGGTGGTCCCCTCCCAAACTGAATGGGACCAACCTGTATGATTAATAAGATATTGCAGAAGTAGCAGAGTTTGACTTACAAGGCAAGGTCATAAAAGACACTGTGGCTTCCTCCTTGCTCTATCTTGGAGAGAGTCCAATGCCATGTCATAATGACACTGAAATAGCTCTAAGGAAAGATCTATATAGCATGGAACTGATGTCTCCTAAAATAGGCAGCACCAGCTTGCCAATACATGGGTGAACCAGTGGAAGCAAATCTCCTAACCCCAGTCAAACTTTCAGATAAAAGCAGCATGGTGACATCTTTTCTACAACCTCATGAGAGACTAACTAAGCTGCAGCTAAGTTTCTGACCCATAGAAACTGAGTGAGATAATAAATATTTGTTGTTGTTTTAAACACTAAGTTTTGGGATAATTTGTTATACAGCAATAGATAACTAACACATGCAAGGAACAACAATATATTCTTAATTAAAAGTTTCTCTAACAAAAGAATACTGAAAATTCATTTTATGAATTTTATAAAATGTCATTCCATAACTCACCTTTTCAGACATTTTCTTAGAATGAATTATTCATCACATACATCCTGGCTTGCATTTTTATAGAGTGATTCCTTATTTAAACAAACAAACAAACAAAGTAAATTTAGCAAAATCAGAAACCAGGCAGCCAATATTTATCAAACATACATATATCAAAAAGAAAATAGGATATATTTAATGACAATCTTTTAATGCAGGGCATTTAAGACTTCAGAAACTATTGTAGAAATAGGAAAGTATTTTATGAAATTCCATGATCAAAATTTTATATTTCAAGCAATTATTTTGGCTTCTCAAGAAAAAAAGAATAAGAACAACTTTGGTTGGGTATCTGCTAATTTCAGACATTGAACTACAGGCTTTACATATGTTATCTCTTTTAACAACCCTATAAGGTAAATGTTATTGGTCCCATTTTGACTTGCCCATCAGGACTTCCTCCTCTCACCTTATAGGTCCTTTTTTTGTTCGTGGTTTTATATTTAGGTTGGAGAATTGCCATCAATTGGAAAGCATCAGATATGGACCAGGTGAGCTTTATTTTCAACCCTTTTTAGGAATGAAATACTCTCTACAAAGTGAAGAACATTCAAATAATGAAGGAAGGAGTCCCTTTGGGGGGCAATAAACATTCCGATTTTTCAAATGGAGCAGCTTGAAGTTTTAGAGTCATAAATAATATTATATTAGAGCTGGAGGAACTTGAGAGAACATTTATCCAAGCCCTCTCATTTTACAGATGAGGAAATGGGATTCATTAACACCGGATAATCTGTCAAATATCACATGGTGGATTAGTAGCTCCAGCAGAACAAGAAATAGCAAAGCTGCCTCCATTAGAGCTACAACACTTACTGGCATTTAGTAGAAGCTCAGTACATTGGATTAGGCTGTGAATCACCATGCTAGAACATGAACGTTTCTACCAATATTCAGTGAGAGCCAGAAGCCTCCCTTGGAAACCTGGTGTGTTCACTTTCTTCCTTTGCAAGCCAGTAGCATCGAGGGTTGAAATTTAAAATAGTACTAAGTTTTTGCCACGTGGTAGAGAAGGGAGCTGGAAACTGCCATTTCCTTAGAGAGTGTTCCAGTTATTTATTGTTGTGTAAAAAATCACCTCAAAACTTAGTGGCTTAAAACAGCAATAATCACTTACTTTGCTTACAAATCTGTAACTTGGGCAGGGATCAACAGAGATAGCTAATCTGTGACCCACACAGCATCATCAAGGACAGCTCAGCTGAGGGCTGGAGGACCCACTCTCAGGATGGCTTACTCATGGCTGACAGGTTGGAGCTGGCCACAGTCTGGAAGCTCAGCTAGACCTGTGCACTGGATGCTCCCTGAGGGCTGCTGTGCTGGCAGCTTAGGCTTCCTCATGGCATGGGAGCTGGGATCCAAGAACAGGCATCCCAAACAAGGGAAGGCAAAAGTCGCCAGCTTCTCCAAGCCTGGGACAGGGATTAACACAGCGTGACTTTCACTGCATTCTACTGGTCAAGCAGTCACAGAGCCCTGATTCAAGGAAAAGGGACAAAGATCCCACCTCTTAATGAAGGAGTATCAGAAAATTGGTTGGCCACGTTTTAAAGCCATCAAATAAGGTATCTTTTTACTGCAAATATGATTCCATTATGCTGATAATGGTAAAGAATTGAGCATTATTAAAGATGAGTCATAGATATCAAAATTATAATCTATTCAGAGTTACTAATCTGTTCATAATATACTCATCAGCCCAGGCAGACAACAGACCTACTAGTAATGCTCAACTTTCACTTCCATTTACTTTTCCACATAAGGGGCTAATAATACACTCTCAGAGGAAATGGGAAGGTTTATTTATAGCTATAAAAGCAAAGTGTACTTTTAATTGCCTTAATAAATGCCTATTAATGGTGAGTTATCTATAAAATGTCCTCACAGGTGAAAGGTATAATCATTATGTGCTTAAATAATTTTACAACATGAAGCCTTTGCAGGTTCCTTGGACAATTGTCCATGCTTGAATTGCAGAAGCCTCCAATTAATTAATTTTGCTAAACATGTAGTTAAGTAGCAAATCCTATTTTTTAAAAGGATAGTTATTTCACAATCCTCTTAAGTACTTGATTAGACGACAAGAGAAGTGATTTATGGATTTTTAATTTTTACAAAAGAAGCAGTACCTGATGGATACCACAGGATTTCAGAACTTATCTGCAAATAAATCATGTTTTCACAATATATGCTTAAGTCAATATACAGCATATTCAGTCAGCTGTTCCAGTAACAGCCCCATTCAGGAACTGAATTATATCCAAGAGCAGACTCTTTCTAATAATACTTTAAAGCAGCAGAACTGAATTGCCTTTCTTGCTATAACAAACAAGAAATTTTCTAGTTTAACGAAGGTGGTGTGAGTGAAGATCTTAAAACTAGTTCTGCTTATGAGCAGGAGCTAGCTGGCACCTTATTTAGTCCACAAGTACAGTAACCAAAAGGGATTTTCCCACAGGGGTCCTAGGATTTAGGTTAAATGACTTTCTATTAGGCAACTGAGACAACAGAAAGCTATAACTTCCTCAGCTCAGCCACTTGTAGGAAGACTGGTTAAATAAGATGAGATGTGTCCCAGCTAAAAACGGGGCCTGCAGCTGGGAGGTTGTTTTCTCAGGGACCAAAGAAGAGAGAGCTCTAGTATAGCTAAGTATTCTTAGTGCCAGAAAACAGTGACTACAAAATAGGGGTCACACCCAGCCAGCCAGAGGGCCTTATTAGTGTACGGAAATTTTATGCTCTTACAGAGATTTAAAAAGCAACGTTAGTGTCAACAGGATCCACTTCACTCATTCATGTTTGTTACACAAACCTCCTATAGGATTTTAAGTTTCTGGTCTAGAAAGTTACCTGGATAAACTTATTTTCAAGGATTTCTGAAAGAGTACATTTGGTATGAACCTTTTTAAAGCCAGCTGAAAGATGAAACCATATGCCCTAAATCAGAATCTATGTGAGAGGGAATCCAAGTGGGTAATGAATACAGACCGCAGAAGCATGGCCTCTACGTAACATAAGACAACGGACCTTTCCCCCGAACCACTGACAATTCTCTGGCTTGTTTCTTGCCATCTTTTACTCACTGTGATTTAGGAGATGTTGGCAAAACACTGAGATCGGTCCTTAATAAGTGGAAAACAAGAAGTTAAAGCCCAAACATGATTACAGACTCCAAATTATAAATAGATATGCAAAAATGTTTATGTAACTTTGGGCAAGACAATAAAAAAGCAGGGGAGGGGGGAGCATTCTCAGCACAGAAAGCAGAAAACCACTCTAATACAGGTACAAGACTGACTGCAGATGATCTCAGTTACCCAGAAAGTTCCAGCAAAAATGGCCTGGGCTTCAAACAGCTCTGCTATTTGATTATGATTGTCTGCTGGGTACAAGTGGCCAAAATAGAAAGCCATACTCATTGGTATATCAAACATTTCCCTTCATTTGCTAATGGCAAAATATTCTGTCACTTGTTAAATTACAAATTAGGAGCCAATTTTTTAGCATGCTCTCACCAAGATTTAGAGAATTAGAGCAGTCATGAAGGAACTGAGAAACATGTCTTGACTGTAGATTTCTCCAAAAACCTATCCATAAAACAGTGAAAGATTTTCTTTTTAATAAATTCCCCCAGAAAACCACATACTGTGCTCACAGAAGCAAGAAGTAAAAAGAAATGATTGAGCAATATTAAAAGGTGGAAAGTCAGACCCCTTTCTTTATGGTGTTTTAATGTTGAAATAAAAGGCACTGAGTAACCCATGGCTCCTCCAGCTGGGACACCAGCGCTCTGCTCCTCTTCATGCTGGTAGGGCAAAGAGTCGGTGGAGAGCCCATTTCCACTCCATATTAAGAAAATTCTTAAAGGGAAAACTTCCAGCTAGACTTTCCAGTCTCACATTTTCTGATGATGTGGTCTGCCTGTCTCCTAACAAGGTTAGAGAAGCAGATTTTGTTTTCAGAATTGGACTAACGTTACTACTGCCTCAACCCATTTCAGGTGGGATGGGAGAGGGTTATTTTCTCCAACAAACTGTTATTTTGCTACAATTCAATGTTACTCAAATATTTTGAAAGTCTAGGCTGGACTTTGAAAAAAAGAACAGTGTTGAAAAATATCCTGGATTCTCTGTAACTGTTGAAGTCACAGTAAGATTTCCACACATCCCCCCTTACTGGGTATATTGCGTGCTCCCACCCTTTCGGTGTAAAGAGCACATCAGGGGCTTAGGAATAAGTCTGGTGCCTTCAAATAAGATAATCACACATGGTCTGTATTAAGCATAATCAGTATCAACAGGAAGGAGACTATTTTCTGACACATTAGGTTCAAAATTCTTCTAGTGGAAATACCATCCCCCCAGCTCCTGTGTCCCTCCCTCTCTCCCCCTCCACTACCACCACTAAAAGGTCAAGAAAGAGGACCTTTGGCCAACTGCATTCCCAATATTTTATATATTTTATATTTAGGGGATTTATCCAGCTTGTCAGCAACGGATATATTTAAATGCATGCCAAATACATCTACCATTAACATATCGTGCTTTTTTTCTTGCCTACACTTTGTTTCTATACAAAATGAATTGTTTCTTCCTCGTGCAAGGTTAAGAACTGTCACTCATCATGTGTTAAACAGGTGCCTGTGCACCTTCTCTCTCTTTCAGGTACCTTTCTGCAAAGACTCTTCTAATCACAACACAAGTTATTTTTAAACTGTCTTGTTCCTCAAGCAAAGAGAATGATTCTTTAGCAATGTGATGCACATAATATCTACAAACAGTGAGAAGCTATAATTTAAAATAAAAAGCATCTTTCTTCAGTACTTTTAGTGGAATTTTCAGAGTTCAAATGCTGGAGTTGCCAATGAATAACAGAGACAAGTCTGAGGGTATATACAAGAAAAGTATGATACAATGGCCGGCTTTATTCCTGTCAACCTTAGATACAGTTCCATGCAGCTCTTAGAAGTGTCTGCCTGGGTCAGACATGCTGCCGTGGTCAGGAGGCTGTAAAATCCTCACAAGCTTTCCTTTTCTTTTCTTCCTTTCATCAATGTGAGAATATTTCTCCTTTCATATCTATTATAGTATCTTCTGCTATTGAACTATTTCTTACAGTATGTTCTTTCTTTGTTCAACTGGCTTCCTTTTAATATCTGAAAAAGTGATAGCCTCATTTTATTTATATTATGAAGACAGAGTCTGGATTCAGACCTCCTGAATTAGAGTCCCAGTTTCAACATTTATTCATTTTATGACCTTGGGTAAGTCACTCAAACTTTTTGTGCCTCAGTTTCCCTATAACAGAAATAATGCAAGAACCTAACTCAGAGGATTGCTGAAAAGATTCAATTTTAAAAGGTAAGCAGAGCACTTAAGATACATTGCACTTAGCAGATGCTGAATAAATATTTACAAATAATTTTAAGTCATTTTTGAAAAACTGGTGGGATTGTTTTTGGCTGATGTTATTAGTTACATTGCTCGCACATCCTTTCTCAACTTATATCCTTTAGATTTCTGTCATATTTTCTTAATTTTTCTCTTTATTCAGTTTACCTGTATTGCTTTAGTAATTTAATTACTTAAAATCTTATCACTTACTTGTGATCTCAGCTCAGCTGCAGCTTTAATACTTGCAACAAGAAGAAAGCTGGACAGACTGGAAGGTAATGACTTTCTGTGAACCCATCAAAGAACTGAAGTCACAGGACAGCCACCCTGAAATCTGGAGAGATGTGGGATGCTCGTGTAAAAATAAGGGGTGTGCTGGGCACAGGGATACTAAAAGCAAGCAGTCTTTCTGCTGAACCACTTTGCTAGCAGTGAGTGATTCAAAAATAGTCTTGGTCCTTTTCTTCTTTCCCATGCACACTCTGTCCTCTCTTCTCTATGGCACTGGAAGAAGAATGGAAAGAGAATCATTAAGGAGGTGCTAGATGAGTGGCAGCAGAATCACTGAAAATAAAGATTTGCCCCCTCCAAACCAGACCTAACATTCAAACTCAGGTATTGTTCATCTAGAGTTTGGAAGTTATTTTGTATGGTTGAGTAATATTCCTGTGTGTGTGTGTATGTGTGTGTATCACAACTTTTTAATCTAATCATCTGTCAATGGACATTATATTGCTTCCATGTCTTGGGTATTGTAAATAGTGCTACTATGAACATTGGGATGCACGTGTCTTTTCGAATTAGAGTTTTCTCTGGATATATGCCCAGGAGTGGGATTGCTGAATCATATGGTAGCTCTGTTTTTAGTTTTTTTAAGGAACCTCTATACTGTTCTCCATAAGGGCTATACCAATTACATTCCTATCAATAGTGTAGGAGGGTTCCCTTTTCTCCACACCTTCTCCAGCATTTAATATGTATAGATTTTTTTGATGATGGTCATTCTGACAGGTGTGAGGTGATACCTCATTGTGGTTTTGATTTGTACTTCTCTAATAATTAGAAATGTTGAACATCTTTTCATGTGCCTGTTGTCATATGGATGTCTTCTTTGGAGAAATGTCTGTTTAGGTCTTCTGCCCACTTTTTGGTTGGGTTGTTTGGGTTTTTTTATATTGAGCTGTGTGAGCTATTTGTATATTTTGGAAATTAATCCCTTGTTGGTTGCATCATTTGCAAATATTTTCTCCCATTCTGTACGTTGTCTTTTTGTTTTGTTTATGATTCCCTTTGCTGTGCAAAAGCATTGAAGTTTAATTAGGTCCCATTTGCTTATATTTCTTTTGTTGCCATTACTCTAGGAGACAAATTTTTAAAAAATATTGCTGAGATTTATGTCAAAGAGGGTCCTGCCTATGTTTTCCTCTAGGAGTTTTATAGTATCCAGTCTTACATTTAGGTCTTTAATCCATTTTGAGTTTATTTTTGTATATGGTGTTAGTGAATGTTCTAATATTATTCTTTTATAGGTAGCTGTCCAGTTTTCCCAGCACCTCTTATTGGAGAGACTGTCTTTTCTCCATTGTATATTCTTGCTTCCTTTGCCATAGATTAATTGACTGTAAGTGTGTGGGTTTATTTCTGGGCTTTCTATCTTATTCCATTGATCTATGTATTTATTTTTGTGCCAGCACCATGCTGTTTTGATTACCATAGCTTTGTAGCATAGTCTGAAGTCAGGGAGCATGATTCCTCCAGCTCTGATCTTCTTCCTCAAGATTGTTTTGGCTATTTGTGGTATTTTGTGTTTCCATACAAATTTTAACATTTTTTATTCCAGTTCTGTGAAAAATACCATTTGTAATTTGATAACCTTAGCATGCCTTAGGTGGTATGGTCATTTTTAAAATATTGATTCTTCCAATCCAAGAACTCAGTGTATTTTTCCATCTTTCCATTGTTTGTGTCATCTTCAATTTCATTCATCAACATCTTATAGTTATCAGAGTACATGTCTTTTGCCTCCTTAGGTAAGTTTATACCTAGGTTCTTTTTTTTTTTTTTTTTGGTGCAATGGTAAATGGGATTGATTCCTTAATTTCTTTTTCTGCTATTTCATTGTTAGTGTATAGAAATGCAACAGATTTCTGTATATTAATTTTGTATCCTGGAAATTTACCCAATTCATTGATGAGCTCCAGTAGTTTTCTGGTGGCACCTTTAGGATTTCTATGTTTACTATCCTGTCATCTGCAAACAGTGACAGTTTTACTTCTTCCTATCCAATTTGGATTCTTTTTTTTTTTTCTTCTCTGATTGCTGTGGCTAGGACTTCCAAAACTATATTGAATTAAAGTGGTAAGCATGGGCATTCTTGTCTAGTTCCTGATCTTAGAGGAAATGCTTTCAGCTTTTCACCATTGAGTATGAGATTAGCTCTCGGTTTGTCATATATGGCCTTTATTATGTTGAGTTAAGTTCCCTCTGTGCCCATTTTCTAGGAAGTTTATATATAAATGGATGTTGCATTTTATCAAAAGTTTTTCTGCATCTTTTGAAATGATCATATGGTTTCTAGTCTTCAGTTTGTTAATGTGGTGTATCACATTGATTGATTTATGGATACTGAAAAATTCTTGCATCCCTGGGATAAATCCCACTTGATCATGGTGAATGATCCTTTCAATGTATTGCTGGAGTCAGTGTGCTAGTATTTCATTAAGGATTTTTGCATCTATGGCCTGTAATTTTCCTTTTGTGTGTGATATCTTTGTTTGGTTTTAGTATCAGGTGTCCTCATAGAATGAGTTCAGAAGTGTTCCTTCCTCTGCAATTTTTTGGAATAGTTTCAGAAGGATAGGTGTTAACTCTCTAAATATTTGGTAGAATTCACCGGTGAAGCCATCTGATCCTGGACTTTTGTTTTTTGGCAGTTTTTAAATTACTGATTCAATTTAAGTACTCATAATTGGTGTGTTCATATTCTCTGTTTCTTCCTGGTTCAGTCTTGGGGGACTGTACCTTTCTAAGAATTTGTCCATTCCTTTTAGATTGTCCATATTGAGACATATTTAAATTGCTTCTAATTTTTCACTTTTACACCTAGTGCTGCAATGAGCATCCCTGTCCTTTCCATAAGTTTGATCCCAAGAACTGGGGTGGCCAAATTAAAATATATAAACATTTGAATTTTCAAAATACATGCCACAAAGGGTTGTGTAACTTTACCCACAAAGAACTGTACCATTCTACATTTCACCAACAGTGTAGGAATGTCTATTTCCCCCACTCTGTCAGCACTGAGATTTTGCATTTTCTCATTGACTGAAATGTGGGTGGGGAGTGTGGGTGTGGGTGTGTGAGTGTAAACTGCTTGTTCATATCCTTAGCCCCTTTTTCTGACTGTATTTCTTTTTATTAGTTCTGATCTCTGACTATTCTGACCTCTTTTTATAATAGTTAAATAAATACTTTGACTATTTTTGTTACAAACATTTTTCCCAAAATGTTATTTGGTTTGAATATTTCATGTTAATTTTTACCATAATTTTAAGTATATACATAATCAAATGTATTCGTTTTTTCACTGTAAATTCTTATTGACCTGGGATGCTTAGAAAGGCCAGATATATTCAAGTTGCTCTGCTCAGCAACATCAGAGTCATCTACACTTTGAGAAGCTGTGTTTTGACAGAAAAGTCAGTATGTATTTGAGATCATAAACAAGAGAATCTCTTAAAATAATGAAGCAGTTACCTATTAAACCAACAACCATGCATTTCTATACCAATCAAATAAAAATAAACCTACGAAAACCATAGTCACTAATAACACAGATTTAACATATATGGGAAATAAAGAGCTAGAAGGAACTTGTAATGTCATCATTTTACATATAAACTGAAAGGCAGAGAATTTTTGTTCTATCCATGGTCATAGTGCACAATGTATGATCATAAGCTACAAGAACTAGATGCTATAGTCCTCCAAGAAGATAAGGTTCAAAATATAAATGAAAAACTAGAACAGTTTCTGGCCCGTCATAAGATTCTGACTGAATATGG